CCCAGGCCCGGCCACTCTTTGTCCTTTGTCAAGCACCCCTAAGTACCGGTAGTTAGGTTGTCCCAGCACATAATGGGTAAAAATTCCACAGGCAGGCCAGAACACAGAACAAAACAAAAAAAAAGGACACCTAACCCTCAACAGTTTCATATATCATTAATCTATATATACTGGTATAATAGACTGGTATTAACTACATGAGCAAATATTTTTGCTGTTGGAGACTATAACTACCAAGTAAATTAAACAATAATCTGCTTTTGAAAGAAAAAAATACCACTGGTACCAGCTGACCTATCTGAGGCAGGAAGTCAACGAATGTGTCCAAATTTAACTTAAATAAAAAAAAGCCATGATACAATACAGGTAAAAATTGCTGTGCTGCAGTAGAAAGTTTCTTTCATATATTTTTTAAAATTAAAAACAACAAAAAACCCAGCAAAATAAACACAAATTTAAATTATCTTTTCATCTTCCTTCCCTTGTTTTATAATATACAATAAATCATTGTTTCTAAACAGTATAACTAACCTCGTACAAACTAACCCATTCCACAGAAAACCTGACAGTAGTTCTTCTTCCACAAGGAATTTAGAAGTTTTTATGGAATACATTTACCACCAGTATAATTTAGAACAGTATTTACACATTCCAGAATCCTATGAACCCTGGGCTTTGCCATAACTTCTCTGAGTTTCCACACAAAACAAAATATGCTCATTAAGGTGCACTACAAGAGAATAAAGGCACTCCTAACATTGTTTCTTCTGCCATCTGCCAAAAATTGCAAAATCAGTAATTAAAAATGCATAAAGCTAAGGTCATTCAATTTACTGAAAAAAATGACCAGATCACAGAAAATATTGACAACAGTTTATCAAACCTTGTTAGGCTTCCGAGTCAGTGCCTAATTCCAGTTCCAACCTCTTTCCACATATACAAGTGATGGGAAACATGGCAGTGCGGCACGCACTGCATAAGGATGAGGCTGCCTCTAGTGTTGCCTTTCATCTGCTTTCCTCACAGCAGTCAACCTCTTTTGTTCCTCTTTTCCCCGGGTAACTAATACCTCGAGGAGCTGGAACAGAGGCTAGACAGAGTTAAGAGGAATAAAGGATATTTACTGAGGCCTCCAAAGGCAGTACCAGTGCTACAATTGAGGCTCTGCCTGGATGGCTCCAAGATGGAAGCAAAATGAGAGCCTAGTCACAAGATCTCATATTTTTATATGTTTTGGTCCATTTGCATACAGGAGTCTCCCTTGCCCACCCTCCTTTTTCACACTGTTTATACTTTGAGCCTGAAGTTTGGAAAAGTTGAATCCCCAACCAGAATAGGGTTGTTGTGTCTTCATCACCCTGTGAAAAGATCCTAGTAACCCTGAATAAAAAGCCGCACAGCAAAGAGCAGAAAAACCGGAAATTTAAGGCATCAGTTTCCGAAACCCGCTTTAGAGGCTCGACAACGCCTCTACCTTGTCAAGTCTCTATTCTATATATTTACTGGCAATAAGTATTTTGGTTAGACAGATAAGTGTCTAACCATAATAAATCTAACACTAGATAAATATCTAATAGTAAATGCATACTTAATGATAAACATAAACTTAATAAACATCTAACAACAATATCTTACACAATTAAGTATTATATAAAAAGAATAGTAATTAGACTCAGAAGAGGAACCATTTAAAATATATTATCATTTGCATCAGTCTTCATTGTTACAATTGTTTCAGGAGCAGAAGCTTTCTTAATTCTGGAGTAGTGAATCCAGGGTCCTTTGTCAGCAGCTTTGACTGCAGTGAAGGTTGTCAGCAGGACTTTAAATGGTCCTTTCCACTTGGCTTGCAGAATATCACTGTCCCACCACTTAAAATTTAGACCCAGTCTTCAGGCTGGAATGGATGTGCAGGTGTGTCTTTCCTATGGGTCTGGATGGCATGATGTATGTCTGGAGCTTCTGCAAAGTGGAACTTAAAGCCATTAAATAATTCTGTAAATCAAGTTTCCCTTTCATATGAACTTCACCTGGAATATGTGGAATCTGATATTGTCTACCATATAGTATTTCATAGGGACTGATATTATCCCTTTGCCTTGGTTGAATGCAAATTCTTAGTAAAACTATAGGCAAGGCTTGAACCCATGTCATGGATGTTTTTTGACAAATTTTACTAATGTGTGTTTTAAGAGTCCCATTCAACTTTACCACTCACTTGGGGTCTATACAATATATGGAGACCCCAAGTAATTCCCAAGATTTGGCTGATTTTTTTTAACTACTGTTGCAACAAAGTGTGGTCCCCTATCTTATGACATCCCCAAGGGAACTCTGAACCCTGGAATTATATGATTGAGCAAAACTTTTACCACTTTCTTGGCAGTATTTGTGCAACAGAGGTAAGCTTCCAGCCATCCACTGAATGTGTCAACTAACACTACTATGTATTGGTATCCCTCTTTGCATGGTAACTCTGCAAAATCTATTTGGCAATAATCTCCAGAAAGATCCCCTACTTTTGTTACTCCTAAAACAGCTCTTTTCCTCGTCTCAGGGTTGTTCTTACAACAGATTTCACATTTGCTCATTACTGATTGTGCAATGTCAGTCATTCCTTTTCCTATAACTACCTTTATTAGGTGTTTTAGAAGATTTTCAGCCCCAAAATGTGTGTTTTCATGTTCCCTCTAGGCTATCTTCCAAAGGATCAGGGATGGGACTACAATCTGACTTGCTGGTGTAACAGCCCATCCACTTTCTGTGATCTCAGCCTTAAGAAACTTAATAAGCTTGTAGTCTGCTTGGTCATATTTTAGAGTGAACATCATCCTGTTCTAATAACAGTGCTTGATATTTAAGCATCTGGTTACCAGATAACCAATGCTCCCCCTTTTGTTGAAGTACAGCTGCTACTGCACAGGGTACATACACTACAATGTGTTGCCCAAGGGTGCGTTTTTGGGCTTCCTGGATCAAGATGATAGTGGCTGCCACAGTCTTCAGGCACCCTAGCCAGCCTTGGGTGACATTGTCTAGCTGTTTAGAAAAGTAGGCTACAGCCCTCCATTGGTTCCTGAGGTGCTGTGCTAGTACCCTCAAAGCCATATTCAGTCTCTCATATGTAAAGAGTTCAAAAGGTGTGGTTAGGTCTGGCAGTCACAGTGCTGGAGCTGACATTAGAGTGTTTCAGCTGTTTGAAGGCTACCTCAGTGTGTTCAGTCCATGGGAGAATTCCTCTCTTGGCTGCTTTTAATGCCCCATATAGGGGTTTTACTAGAAGTCCATAATTTGCTATCCACAAACTACACCAACCTACCACTCCCAGGAAAGCTTGCATCTCTCTTACAGTATGGGGCTCTGGAAGTCGACAGATGGCTTCTTTCCATTCCTTACTGAGGTGTCAATGTCCACAGAAGATCTCAAGCCCCAAATAGACTACTGCTTCTTTAGCAATCTGTACTTTGTCTTTAGAAACTCTGTACCCACTCAGCCCCAAAAAGTTTAATGAGTCATATGCAGTCATCTCTGGTCTTGGCTGCAATCAGGATGTCATCTATGTACTGAAGAACAACTCCTTCTTTCTCCTGTCTTTTCAGTCTTCTAATTCCTTTGCTAGCTGATTTCCAAATATGGTGGGACTGTTCTTGAAACCTTGGGGTAAAACACTCCAGGTAAGTTGACATTTCCTCCCTGTCTCAGAATTTTCCCACTCAAAAGCAAAAAGCTCTTGGCTGTTTTTGTGTATAGGAATGCAGTAAAAGGCATCTTTCAAATCTACAACAGTAAACCACCCTAATTCATCTGTCAGTGTGGTTAAAAGGGTGTAGAGATCATCTACTACTGGATGTATATCCTCTGTTAATTGCTCTTAAATTTTGTACTAATCAGTAAATCTTACCATCTGCCTTTTTAACAGCTTAAATAGCTGTATTGAATTTGGACTCACATTGCACTAACAGACCATGTTGTAGGAATTTTTCAATTACAGATACAATCCCTTAGGAGTCTCCAATTTTAAAGGGTATTGTTTTTTCCGTACTGGTATAACTCCCAGTTTAAATGCAATACTCACTGGTTCCGCCCATTTGGATCTTCCTGGGATATCACTGGCCCACACTATTCAATGTGAATTTCACCAGCTTTTTCCTGTATAAAAAGTGCAGCAACTTGGACAAATTTAGGTTCAGGAATTATAACTCTTACACCTTTCCCCTTTTTAAATATAATTTCTGCTTCCAATTTTTCTAACAAATCCCTCCCCAGCAATGGTTGAGGGGAGCTAGGCATACAGAGGAATTGATGGGTTACGCAGTGTTTCCCTAGTGTGAATTTTAAAGGTTGGAAGAAAGGCTGTGTTTCGTTTACCCCAGTTGCCCCAACAACATGTACACTATCATGGCTCAGTTTCCTTTCTAAGATATTCAACACAGAATATGCTGCTCCAGTATCTACTAAAAACTCGGTGTCATCTTTCCCCAGCTTAGCTATAACCAAAGGCTCTGCCTGGGGGGTGGAAATAGCCTTTGGTCCCTATCATTCAGAGCCTGAGCCACCTGAAGTCTGTACTACTGGGAGCTGGGGGACGGAGGATTTTTCTTTCAATGCTGGACAGTCCTTTTTCCAATGTCCCCACTTTTTTACAGTATCCACACCAGTCCTTCTTTGTAGGGGAAGCTTTGTTGGATGACTTTTCCTGAGTTGCCTTTTTACTAGGTTGGGATTTAACACTTTCAGTTGGACCCCATCTCGAAACACCTTCTGTTTCGGCTGGGTCCTGGGGGCCTGTCCAACCCCCAGCTTCTACCAGCAAGAGCCCAGATAGATGTCCTGGGGCGGAGCTGCCATCTGAGGTTTCCAATCAGTCTCCAGCCAACCCTTAGGAGGACCAGCAAAGGCTTCAAGGTGACCAGCTCTTTTAGAAGCAATTTCTGCTCTGTGATCAGCTCTGTTCAGCCTAGCCAGATCCCTTCAGGGGTTACCCCAGCTGACACAGACAAGAGACAGGAAGATCATGTGGCATTCCACATGAAGTTGTTAATGCAGGCTTCAGCAAAGGGGGCCAGTGATGATCCAACCACTGAGCTGGGCAAAAGCTGGTGTTTTTATAGGGAAGGGGAGAATCGGGAAGGGGACCAGTAGTCTGAGACTGGGATAAGATGACCAATAGTTAACAGGGAGATAACATGGGGTCCTGAAGCAGGAAGGGGTCCACAGCTGAGTGGACCATGACTAGCTACACCATGACCGGGTGGTTTTGTCTTATTTTAGGGGGCTGATCTCCAGGGAGGATGCCTGTCAGAGGACTGGGCCTCCTCCACAACCTTCCAGGCAATCTCTAGCAGTTTATCCATATCTCGAACTCCTCTATCTTTTGCAGCTTTCTTCTTATATCATTTGAAGCCTTACCCATAAACAACAAAATCAAATGAGCTTCACCATCAGCTCATTCAGGATCTAGATCAGTATATTTAATAGCAGTTTCACTTAGCCTGTTTAAAAAATCAGTAAGTGATTCATCATAATTTTGTCTCACTTCATAAAACTTTGACCAGTTTATAGCTTTAGGTAAATCATGTTTTAACCCATATACCGCAAAACTTTGATATCATTTTAACCTCACCATATCTTCTGTTATATTTGGATCCCACCCAGGATTCTCAAGGGGGAATATCTGAGTGACAGTGCCTTGAAGCAGTCCACTGGCTATACCCCCCTCCATTGGCATTGTGATGGCTTTATTGACCATTTGTCTCTCAGTGGGATCAAGTAATGTATCTAACACAGAGCTCAAATCTGCCCACTCTGGGTTTTGCAAGAAAATAGCCCATTCTACTAATTTTGCCACTTTATCTGGGTTCTTTTTATATTTCCCCACCGTAGTTTTCCACTGCTCTAACTCTATACAGGAGTATAGAATCTTTGCATATATTGGCCCCTGATTACCAACCGCTTGTCATAATGGGGCTTGCAAAATTGGTTGTCTTCCTTTCTCCATTTTTTATCTATTATGCTAAGTAATTGGGCTACGCTCTCTGAGGGCTTTTCTTGCTATCTGTCCCCCCCTCCTCCTGTTTAGGGCAGCAATAATCTCATCCATTTCATCATCCTTTTCTTCTTCCTCAGAGTCATTTAAGCAAGAGCTGTGTGTTGTAGCCAACAGTGTATCTCAGCTAGTCCCAATCCTTGCATCCTGCAAGACCTATTGCAGTGCCGCTCCCGGGCTGTGTCCACTATCTCTGATGATGTAATCTTCTGAGGAAGCTCCCTGGCCTTCTGGGTTGCTATGGTAACACACAGGCCTGAGAACAGAGGAGGCACCATTCCCCCTATGGGTGGTTCCCTCTCCACCCACTTTGTTAAAGGTCCTGTCCCCTGGCCCCTCCTCTTAGGGCAGTGCTGAGGGCTGGTGTGGAGGCGGCAAGGGACAAGGCCCACCTTTCTCCTCCTTCACTGACCAGGGCCCCGCGTCTCCCCCCGTCCCCCTTTTGCGGCAATGCTGCGGGTGGCAAGGGCGGCGCTGGTGGAGGAGAGCCCACGCCCTGGCCTGAGCCCGCGCCCACTGTGAGCATGGCCGTGAGCAGCCCTGCCTTCATGGCAGGTGCAATTAGGTTTACCCCTGCCTCCTCTGGATTTCTGTATTTGCTACTGAAAGTCAGCTCTTTCTTTTTACTTTTAAAAACCAGTATAAGTTCTCTCTGCTTATCTAGGCTCTGCTTGCATGCTAATACCATAAAAAGTCGAACATACTCTTAACTCTTCAAAATATCTGTCCTTGCATATGCATTTAAGGATATTAAGTTTGATGTTAATTTTCAGTCTAAACTCCCAAATTTAGGCCATATTTCTCCATTATCTAGTTCATACTGTTATAAATACATACTATAATGTTGGCTTTTCACAAGTACTAAGATGAATGTTATATGTATAATGTTAGAATGGCTTTGCTGTGTGAATGTAGTTTCTTTCTCTCCGGCTATTAGCAAAAATTAAGGCATAAGTGGTAATAGTCAATATAGTATGTTTGAACTGCCTGCTGGTTAGGATAACCTCCAGTGAACAGATGATGGAGACCTGGCTGCTATTAACACTCACCACCTGTGGAAAGCAGGAGCCAAAGCCCAGATTAAAAGATGATAAGGAGGGAATTAAAACCGCAACCCAAGAAATGTGCATGCTCTAAAAAGGCGGATCCAAGGAGTGGCCTGGAAGATGTAAACTAGTCAATGGAAAAGTTTGAATATGCATAAAGTCTATGGATATGCATCAAGTTGGTGCTATAGAAATGGTATATAAAGGGTGTTTCCAAAACACCAGGTGTGCTCTTGGCAGAGTGCCAAGCACCCAGCCATTTTAACCCTCCGCTTTATTGTCTTTGTCTCCTATTGGGTTTTTTTCTTAAACCTTTTAAAATTTACCAGAACAGTGAATGTTGTTTTTCACAATACGTTGGCCACATTTTCTCTGAGAGTCTAATAAGTCTAGGTTTTAAAAGCATGGACTTTTCCCCGGTTAAATTAGCCCAGATTTTCAGTATTAACCCCAGAGGGCTATCACTTGGAATACTAGTATTATCATATTCACAAGAGGATACACCATGTAGTCTGATACCTAAAAATAAAGAGCAAAGACACCACCAAACAACTCAGAGTCAGGATTAGAACTCCCAACCTTCAAAGCAGCAGCACTTGAGCTAACTCACTACACCACTGCTGACTGCAGACCAACACCACTACAATTTAAATCTCCTTTTCCAAGAAGGCACCACTTCTTACCAATGAATAAAGAGGAAAACAGCTCCACTTAGAACATAAGGTTCCCCAAATGAATTCACAATTTACAAAATTACAATCTACAAAACCTCTTAGCACCTAACCCAGATGCTAAACAGAATAAATACTCTTTTATTTGGTCACTCACACACCTCAGTTCCAGGGGTTCTTAGCTCTGATACCTCTGGACCTCTTCCAGCAGGGTGAAGAGGGCTTCCCAGATGCTTCAGTGTCCCATCCCAGTCACTAAAATCTGATACCTTGAGGAGCTGGAACAGAGGCTAGACAGAGTTAAGAGGAATAAAGGATATTAACTGAGGCCTCCAAAGGCCACACCCTGGCAGTACCAGTGCTACAACTTAGGCTCTGCCTGGATGGCTCCAAGATGGAAGCAAAATGAGAGCCTAGTCACAAGATCTCATATTTTTATATGTTTTGGTCCATTTGCATACAGGAGTCTCCCTTGCCCACCCTCCTTTTTCACACTGTTTATACTTTGAGCCTGAAGTTTGGAAAAATAGTCCTTGAGTCCCCAACTGGAGTTGGATTGTTGTGTCTTCATCACCCTGTGAAAAGATCCTAGTAACCCTGAATAAAAAGCCGCACACCAAATAACAGAAAACTTAAGGCATCATAACTCCTGCAAGGATCCTTTGCATGTGTGTTCTCAGAACTTGCCTGTACATGGAGGTAATTCAGAGGGATATTGGGGAAAACCATGTGTTTACCATCTCCTCACCCAGGGTCACACAGTAGTTTCTCTCTCTGAGGATTAAACACGAAAGTGTTTCAGAGCAAACTGGTCCCACATTTGTCCTGAGACACAGAGAAGTGCTGTCCAGCAACATCTCAGGCTACCCTTTTGCTTTCACTGAGATAACTATGGGTTTATTTTAATGCAGCTACAGCCAGTCAGGCCCCCAGGTCTATTAGCAGTTAAGAAACAATCATGTACCCAGCACAAAATTCTTTAAAAATTTGTAATGAGGATACTGGGTTTTTTACTAGAGTTGCAAAGTCAAACCTACTTTAAATACCTCTATCAAATAAATTTTTATGGGAAAAATACTATAATCCAAGAGGAATTGAATGCCAGTTAGCCTGCTTGTAAACCTGAATTTTTAAAATGTAATTAAATGAATCCTCAAAACATTATACAAAATGAGGCTTTATGGAATACAATTTGACTTAAGTGATACTAAGTCAGCAGACTCATGGTGATTGCCTCCATTGTCATGCCATGTTCTCATCTGACAGTCTGCTGGACTAAATGTAGTCTAAGTCATCCAATCTCCAAAGCTGTCTTGCTATTACAGAATTAAATAGAATATTCACATTTAATTACACATAAATTTAATCATTCTATACTCCATGACTGACTGTGGATAATCTTCTGTGGCCTTGGGGAGAAAAAAAGAAAACCCGCAAAATTTGCAATTTGCCTTTGCCACACATGAGGAATATTCTAACAAGTGTGGAACACTCTCAGACACACAGTACCTGCAGGATGTAAACAGAGGATTGCAGAATCTGGTTTCATAGACAAAAACAGTTGCCACCAGCTTTTCAACTGCCCTTTCTGGTCCAGCTCTGTGGGGAAAGATCCACAGATTTATTTAAGGGGAAAATACAACTTCACATTAAGGTGTGTGTGTGTAAATTGTACATAATCAATAATGAATATGAGAACCTGTGCTAACTTGGTTAAAATTACTTAATTTTTTAAACAGTTAATTAAAAAGTAGTTGTCCAGTTTTCTAATTTCAGCAAAATGCTCTGGAAAATATTAAAGAAATGCCCAGATTAGTATACTTTAGGAATTAGAAACAGGAGGCTCTAGCTTCCTTAGAGATACCTGGGTTTAGCCATTTTAAATATATGGTTACAAAAAATTGAATTTTTTTACTGTCAGACAAAGGTTCTTTTGTTCTTTGACAAGATCATTTTATGAAAATACAAATGGTATTGTAATATCATCTGATCATGTTTCAACTTAATACTTCAGTGAATTTACTTTATCTAGACATAAGTAAAAAAGTGAGTCTTAAATATTTCTATTGTGGCAGAATAAAAGGAGGTTGTAATCCTTTGGAAAAGTATTATTCCAACAGCAATTGAATTTAAGTAAAATAAGTAAAGACTTAACCAAATTGAAGTTAAAAACAACTTTCTTATTTAATACTACTTTTGTTGTCACTAGTAGGTTTTACTCTGAGATTTAGCTGGTCATGTACAATAAATGGGTAGAAGATCACTTTTTGCAATTCTTTCTCACTGAATTTATCCTTAATTCACATAATGCATTACATACTATGTGAAAGTGCAGTATTGACTGTGCCATTGCAAGTTTGTTGTCTTGTTATGCTGTAATTTCTCCTGGGTCATTGCTATTTGAAAATCATTAAAATTTGTAATTAACTGTAGGCAATTCAAAGAACACACTTGGATCTCCAGGATTATGGGAATATACTTATCAACAAAGTGGACTTGAAAGTATAGAATTATGCAATCTGATAGTCTGGGAGCAAAAATATTTATGTGCAATAAGACAGCAGAGAAAGTGAATGGATTTTTCTCATAGGTAGCTCCTAGATTAGATTTAATCAAGACTGCAAAAAGACATCTTAAGGGCGAGATTTTTTAAAGATGTTACCAAAGAAAAAGAAAAATGCTAAAAATTAATAAAACTCCATTTTACCATCAGTCTCCTGCTGCATTTGCCACAGACCCATTTGGACCCAGTACTGTGAGAGCTGACACTAGAGAAGGAAATGTTCTCTTTCAGCAGTAATAGAACCTCAGCTAATTTGTCAGAACAGACAAAAAAGCAGCACTAATCCCAAGAATGCTGGAGAAGTTTAGTGGTCCCCTGTATGTCTTTACATACAGATTAAACTTGCTAGACTCATCTTGGTTGCAGGACTACTCCAAATTACTTAGTGAAATATCTTCAGCAAAAATTTATCTAGTCAGATACAGTACACAAATACATCATGAAAAATAAGCATCATGAGAAAGAATTTTGTCTCCCTTACAAATACGCCAGTTACTCAAGCAATTGTGTTGTTTTCAGCCTAATTTCTGGTCACACAAGCAGGACATCATACTAAAATTGTCTAAATAAAGAAAAAAACCTTGGCAAATTCAACTGAAGTCCTCTTGCAAGTAGTAAAATGTTGTAGTTCGTTTATTTAATTTTGTTAAGGATTTGTTAACACTTGTTAGTACGTTCTTTTTTCCCCTTGTTGATTGTATTGGTTTGGCCCAGTTGTCAGATATGTAAACCCCTCCTTTTTTCCCTGAATGTTCCCTGCATGTCACCTTAGCCCTGCCCCTACCTCCCTATCCATCATTGTAAACCCCACCCCTTCTTCCAGACCCTTCTGTATCAATCAATTATCCCTCGAGTCCCCACTGGTTAATGTATCTTGTTCCCTCCCTCTGTGAAACCCTATTGGTCCAGAGTTTGTGATCACCTCCCCTTACTCCTCCCCTTGGGATTCCCCATTGGTCTACAGTTTGTACCCTCCCCTAGAGGTCAGGCCATACTTAAATCCTTGCGCGGCAATGCTCAGGGTTCTCTTGGATCTGATCCCTTCCAGCGTGGACCACTTGTTACCCTCACCTAATAAAACCATTGCTGGGAACTACAATCCAGGAGAGACTCCTCTGCCTTTTTGTCTCCACACCTGATGCCATGCACCACAGAGCTTGAGGTGGCCTGAGACTCTGGAGGTTTCACTAGGGGAAAAGCCTACTCCCTGGTGACTCCCCACTCCTGGTGCTCACCTGCGCCAGAGTGCAAAAACCAACATAGAGCCAGACAGAGCTCCAGTGCAGTGCAGCGTCAGCTGGCGCCCAACATCATCTCACGGGAGACGTTACAGAGGAGTCAGACAACATGTTGAAGATCATCAGTTAACTCTTTGGGTGGCAGCTACCTCGGTTGCAGCAGGCTGACTTTTGTCCGGCAGCGCTCCCAAGGAGAGAGGTGGCAACCCTCGTCCACGCCGAGGATCACCTCTGGGTGGAGGATGTGTCCCACAGCACCTTCGTCTGGAACCTGGTGTGGTGAGTTTCCCCAGGGAGGGGAAGGTGTGTGTTAGGAGAAATACCAGTTGGGGGTGGTATTCCCTCCTTTTAGGCTCCAGACCCTTATCTTTCCGTTCTTTTCCATTATTATTTTGCTGTGGGGTGTGGCAAGTGTGCCGAGTTGATGTGCTAACAGCAGGAAATAGACGTGGGTGCAAAATTGTCGACTCGGCAAAGAGGACATTATCTCCAAGTTGTGGGAATCCTTGAGGGGTGAGGGAAAAGGTTTTCTAAGAGTTTACTTAACGAGTCTGATTAAGTAAGTGGCTGTTCCTACATTACCCCCAAGTGTCCCCCAAAAATTTGAGCTCTGTTGTTTTCTGGAATGCTGTTGGGGCAAAATTAACATTTTTAGCTAATCAGGGGGATAAAACATGATTTAAGTTAATTCCTCTTTTTGTTCTGATTCAATGTGCTTTAGTTAAAAAAGGGGAGGTGGAGGGACAGCCATCTCAATTATCCCAAGTTACCCTACCCCACAATCCTTCTTCCTTGGTCCCTGTTCTGGGAGAGACGTGCAGGGCATCCCA